GAAGGTATTGTAGTTGGTAAGCAGTTGATTGGTTCATGATATTTCTAATGATTCATATCAAGTATTTGGTTAAACTTTATTTTGATACAGTCACTTTAGACACTTTAGACAACTATCAATAGTTGCTTTGCAATTACATGTCAACTAACTCTCATTAATTTACAACTGCCAACTACTATCATTAGAGTTTTAGTAGACTGTTCTGTTAGGGTTAGTAGAATGAATTAAGCTGTAGTTTCTGAGTAAATATTAGGCAGTAGACAGTAATACGACTGGTAGTTGACATGTATAAAGTACCAAGTGTTTTAATGAACATTAAGTTAAGTCGCATTAAGATTCCAAGGGTAGCAAATAAAAGAGGATCCAAAATCTAACAAATGCAAATGGTGGGTATGGAATAGATTAAATTAATCAATTTTACAAAGATTTGTGTGAGCTTATGTGGTTCACAAGTAGGGAATGGGGTAGAGTTATGTATTATGAGTTACAATTACAAATGCAAGTTAATTTAATAATGTTAGAAAGAAAAGCACATATAAAAGGTAAAAATGGCCCTGAAAATCATTTTAAGGCAGTAAATATTGGTCCATAACAGAAACGTTATTGAACTGACCACAGCGTAGAAACGCTGTTCGACATGTCTATTAGCAAGAGGTAAAAACAATATAAATACTGTTTGCTTTCTCACACAAACCACTCGTTTCGTGTCTTAGATGGCCAATACTTACATTCATGAGTCATTAAATCATGTTTAATTATGACTTCTCTGTGCATGCTCTTTGAGGTGGACTCCCTAAACCTACATTATATGACTGACAGACAACACCGGTTTGACGGAAATTTTCAAAATTGAAAATACTGTGGAAACAAAGACACCTACATCTTGGAAGCTAAAACATATCAAAAATTATTTTCAAAGTGAACTATCCCTTTAACTTGACGGGTCTCCTCTGCAGTGCTGTGATGGACTCTGACTGTGTGGGCTGAGCTCTACCTCTTTTTCTTCTACTTAACATTTACAAGCTAGCACATCCTTCCAAGAGGCATTTAATAGTATAAACAAACCAAGACGTTTAAAATATTCTTTTTAAACACCACAAAACTTCACTCCAGGCAAGGGGTCCTTTTGTGTAGTCTAGATACAATTTGCCTTAGTCACAGTTTTTTTATTACAACTGTATTGTTCTTTTATGTGGGAATGTTGATATAGCGCAGTGCAGCACTCTGCAGTGCTGGTTCAGAGTTAATACATTACTGAGAGTGTTACTGAGATTAGGAGCCTCTTTTAGTCTGGGTGTAAAGCAGTGTGTGTGTGTGTGTGTGTGTGTGTGTGTGTCTTGAGGAATGACCAGAAAAAAGTGCAGTGGCAGCAGATCTGGTCTCCAGCTCAGCATTTACCATCAGCCCCCTGTCAAAGCTCAACCCCACCCCTGGAGAGGGATTCTCCTTCAGAGTCTTGCTTCCATTTTAAACATCGGCATGCTCATCCTGAGCAAATGTGAACAGTACAGGATAATACCTGAACTGTCTCATCTCTCTTTCTCTCTCTCTTTCTCTCTCTCTCTCTCTCTCTCTCTCTCTCTCTCTCTCTCTCTCTCTCTCTCTCTCTCTCTCTCTCTCTCTCTCTCCTCTCTCTCTCTCTCTCTCTCTCTCTCTCTCTCTCTCTCTCTCTCTCTCTACCACACACACAAATGAGACATTCACAATCAATGAGTTCTACATCCTCGTTTTACACAGTTTTTTTTTTTTCATCCACAAACACACATTTTTGAATGGTCAGAACAGGCAGGCTAAGAATGAAAGATGTGTGAGTTAAACTGTAAAACACTTAATACTGAGCAACAACCAATATACATATACACAGAGATAACATGTAGATTTTCTTTCATTGTTAGGGTTGTTGATCGATAAAAAATCAATTTAACTGTTTTCTCTAATTAATTGCACCTAACATTACCATTTGTAATCATAAATATATTTCCACACTAAAAATTAATGTGGAAACAACATAAACAGTATTTTTTATATATATATATATATATATATATATATATAGTATGTATATATATATATATATATATATAATTACAAATTAGTTTGTTTTTTACAATGTAGTATGAATGAAGGCAACACCAACACTCTCTGAAAAAAAAAAGGTACAAAAGCTGTCACTGGGGCTGTACCTTTTCAAAAGGTACACTTTTGTACCCAAAGGCTGCATATTGGTACCTTAGTGGTACATATTAGCACCTAAAATGTACATATTAGCACCTGAAATGTACATATTAGCACCTAAAATGTACATATTAGGACCTAAAATGGACATATTAGCTCCTGAAATGGACATATTAGCACCTAAATTTACATATTAGCACCTAAAATGTACATATTAACACTTAAAATGTACTTATTACCACCTAAAATGTACATATTAACACCTAAACTGTACATATTAGCTCCTGAAATGGACATATTAACACTTAAAATGTACATATTAGCACCTTAAATGTACATATTTCCACCTAAAATGGACTTATTAGCAACTAAAATGTACATATTAAGACCTAAAATGTACATAGGCCTATTAGCTCATGAAATGTACAAAAGTTTACTTTTTGAAAAGGTACAGCCCCAGTGACAGCTTTTGTACCTTTTTTTTCTGAGAGTTAATACTAATACTGATGCCTATATATATCACTGGGGATAAAATTAATTATTGCAAGTATATTACAGTATTTTAAACCAGGTCTATATTTTGTTTATCAGATGTTTTTATTTATAATGTATTAACTACTTTTAATATAAGTGAACAGTTTGAACTTAAACCCTTTATAATATATCATTATATATACACGCACACACACACACACACACACGCACACACATAACACACATAACACATGAAAGATTCAAAGGTGTAAGTATAATATTATATATTCTGTATATAATTATTTTATATTTGTTCAATATTATATTATAATATAATTGTATGTTATATGAGTTACACTTCTCTCATGAATATATTGCACACAGCTCCATATTGAGATCAATAGGTGGTCTCTGTAAAGCCGCAAAAAATTAATTGGAGGGCTAATCTTATTTCCTAATTGTTCTTGACAGAGACTGCAAACATCCATCACAGTACAGACCACAGCACAAAGGACGTCACAGTAAACAGAGCAAAGCACAGCTTACAGTGCGGTATAGGAGACCACAGGCAATGAGCAATTGACAGAGCAGTAGAGCACAGCGAGGTGCAGGGCAGGGGGAACAAGTTATAATAAGTAAAAGTGAAAACCTGACTATCATACCTCTCCGTCTCATCATATAACTCCCTCTCGTCTTGAAGGAGATTATGGGTATGGGAGTGGGTTTCTTATCAGAAGCATATAGAGTCTGTCCTGCTGAAAAAACTGCAATGCAGATACACAGAGACCGAGAGAGAGGGGGGAGGGGGGGGGGGGTCTGATGGGGGTAGGCGAACTTAAACACTGTCAGCAATCCCCTCAAATTCCATCAAAATCCCATTCAGCCCAGCACATTTAGAATCCGCACGCACATGTCTTTTTTTACTTGGGAGTTTCTACTGACTTCTACTTTTATACTGAGATAATGATATTTTCTATTCCTTAATCCTGCCCTTAAACCTCATTGAAACCTCCTTTTGCATTGTGTTTTATTTTATTTTTATTAATCACTACTTACTGTGTTTATTAAGCCACTTTCATAGTGGTGACCATCGATATACTCTCAATGCAAGTGATTTTAGGTTTTACTATTTATGCAGGGACATTTATTCCTCGTAATGCATGCACACACACACACGGAAAGAAGGAGAGAGAGAGAGAGAGCAAGGGACCTTCAAAACACCTTTTATGACTCTTTCTTTCATCACTCTCTCCATTTAGCTTCATAGTCGCTCTGAATCATCATTCCCTCAATCTACAGTGACACTTATGATTAAGACATGGGTAAAAAAAAGTGTCCTTGCCTTGAACCATATTACATTAGAAGAACGCTTTTTTTGTGCAGTTTCTGGTGTGGAACCTGCACACTTTCAAACAGTCACACAGTGTTACACATTAAACATTATCTGCTTCTTAAAAATATAGATTATATATAATCAAGACATGTAAAATATTACTGTGATTTAGAGATTTTCTTGCAGATTTTTCCTTAAATAAATACAAAATAGAGCATAAAAACGTGAACAATGACATCATCCTGTCATTGGTGAGGATTAATTATTTTGTTTACAAGAGAGAGAGGCACAAATATGAAATTAACAGATACACTGCCACCTGGTGTCTGATACGTTTAAAATACCACTCACTGCCCTGTGAGATTTTATTTGTGTAAAATATAAATATTATAAATATAAATGATTTACAGCATAAAAAGCTTCTCATCTAAGCTATATTAAAACATGTTAATATAAAAATAAATAAATAGGCCTATTAATTTATAAAAAAAAAAATAGATATTAAAGTGATGATAATAGAATAAGGTCATGAACATGTTTAAACTAATTTCAGTTGAATAACATTTCAAATTTGTTAACATTTTCAAATATTTAAATTTAGTTTTTTACTTTTTTTGTATGTCAGGTTGTATAAAAGTTTGTATGTACCTGACCAACCTAAGGTTGTTTACAATTTTAAATTCAAGTGCTTAAAATGTGGGGTGGTGTAACAACCCTTTATACTTGGCACTAATTTACACAGTTTACTACTGTGTAACAAATAGCGTTTATTTAATCTAACTAACACACCCAAGCAGCATATTAAATTGTAATACAAAACAATTAAAAGACGGACCAAATGGCCACGCCGTTTCTTTGCCTTGGTTTATTGATAGTTCAAGTTAATAACCACTTGAAATTCCCCCAACAAAAGTAACGCGGTGAAACTCCCAAAGAAACTAATGTAACTGACACAGTTAATTTTGAGTGTGCTACGCATGCGCGCCTTGAGCCATACGCATGCGCACTTCTCCGCGGTGTCTGGTTACGCGAGAGGCTTTGGGAATTCCCCAGGAAAACACCTACGCAAACACACGGCCTTTTCTGGACAAACTGGGCAACAGTAAGCCGCTCACAAGGTGAGCAATCTGTAGTTTTATAATGCTCCGGACATGGAGGGAATCTGAGGCTCGTGCGACAGCGCTTGCCGCTGTTGTTTGGGAATTTGTCCAGAAAGAGCTCATCTTGTTCCCCTAAAAACAATCCTTCTGGATAGAAGCGAAAACGGCGCAAGCAGATAGCTGTTGGTCAAGAAAACAGTTTCTCTTATTACAGCTGACATCATTTAAACGGGAGATTCATATATAAATGGAGGGGACGCAAGATATTCACGGTGAATCCCGAAGACAGAATGCACGGCCTGGACCGAGCTACACTATGGAGAAACGGGTCGCCGTGGACGCTGTTGCGGAGGACTGGTGTGACAGCGGGCTAGACTCTTTAAGCGGGGTCGGACTCGGTTTTGAGGGTCCCTACGGCACTTACACAGAGGCCGAGCAGATGTGGGCACCTGATCGATCTATGTCTATGTCTCACATACCTGACAAGTCGGACGAGTCCGACAACAGGGGCACCATGGACTGCGTGTCGATAGGCGGCGGAGAGAGGCTCGACTCTGCCATCGGGGACTCGATTAATGAGGATGCGGTGGTGGGGTGTCTCTCCGACGGGATCGGCACCATGATCCTAAGCGAGCCCGCGGGAACAGACAGGCTGGCGGTCTCGGACACCGAGGAGGGTCGGCAGCGGAGAGAAGAACTCTTCAACACGCTCAACTTTCTGTCAGAGGACGGTGACACGTAAGTCTTTGTTGTTTTCTGTTGCCTGTACACTTGTCTGTTTGGAAGGCCATTGGATTTAGACTGTATATTACCTTTTTTGTCTGTCAGGGTACTTCATTTGGCGCTGATTCATGAGCAGTGGGGTGTTGTTCAGTGCCTGCTTGAAGAAATTGTGGTGGACAAGACCTGGACTCCTTATCTGCACATCCAAAATGACCTGGGCCAGGTAAACGCACGACAGTGTTGCCAGATCTAAAGAAACAAGCAACTTGATCTGACAGAGCAGCACTTACGGATGAAGAAGAATTGCTGTACTTCCAATGATCTGATGTATTGTTTCATAAAATATTACATATTAATTTAGGTTAAATTGCATTTTGCTGTCAAAGTCACCGTTAAATCATACTTGACCATTCTTATTTTTTATGGTATAAAAATTATTTGTCCATAGACCTTTTTTTTTTTTAAATTCTTAGTCATTTTTAATAGAAAACATTAACTTCCTCGCCCGGTCTTCTTCGATGACTTGCTGTGATGCTATGAGGGCAGGACAATAATCTCTCCCTTTCAGCAACCTGGCACTCACGTCACCATCACAGCAATTAGCAAATGACAACAATCCAATCAATTTTCAATGGACAAAATAAAGTCTTGCCCTACATTTTTTTTCCCATTTTTCCTCAGATATGTCACAATAAGAAAAGAAAAGTCACTCACAACTAAAATTTTATCATCCATATGCACCTATTGGGAAACGGAAACCAATCACTAGCAAGTCAAACTACAAAATTGTTCTCTAGAAATAATGCATACCACAACTGAAAATCTTTTTTTTTTAAGAGGCCTATAGTCTCGCATAACCAGACCTTCATCTGGACTCCATCTCTGCTTTCATTGGCCAACGTCTGACTGACATGTAAAACAACTAATCTCAGCGTTACGTTTAGAGGAGAAAAAATATAACTTGATGTCCCTACAATATAACAGACCGGCGTGTAAATCTCTTGGACGTATTTTAAAAAGTTGTGAACTTCACATACTTCAATACTTTTGAAAATCAAGCAAATGCTAGGACGGTGTTTCCCAACCCTGCTTGAGGCACACCAACAGTGCACATTTTGGATGTCTCCCTTTTCTGACCCATATTTCTGGTCTTGGAGTCTACTAAGGAGTTGATAAGTTGATTCAGGTGTGATCGATTAGGAAGAGTTGGAAAACGTGTAGTGTTGGTGTGCCTCCAGGAACAGGTTTGGGAAAACACTGTGCTAGGACACCCGCTTCCTTAATTACACCTGCTTTAAAGAGGCGGAGAATTTTCAGCGCAAAATAGAGGCGCGCTTTCACCAGCTTTTTCTGTACATAACACGGAATACATAATTCGGCGCAGATTACGCTTCCCCTCCCATTTCTTTATATGACACTCCCACTTTCCCCTTGACCATCCCATGAATGCTTATACATGACAGTATGGTTGCTAAGTGAACAGACTTTCCTTGAAAGACACTTTGCTTATTTTTAAAGCAAAAAGTACACTTCTTTTTTTCTTTTTTTTTACACGTACGCGAGCGAAGTACCTTCCAGTCCTTTACCTTACAAAAGCGATACTCTTTTGATGACGAAATTCGCGTCCTGCGCACTGTACGCTGACCCTTGTGCACACGTAAAAAGTAAAGTATACCTTGGCCTTAAAAGTGTACATTGCAACACTGATATCCAACCAATGTAATTTTTCCACCCTATTTGCTCAGACCGCTCTACATTTGGCAGTCATAGTAGACCGGAGCGAGTGTGTTCGGGCGCTGTTGTGGAGTGGAGCCAGTGTTGAGATCCAAGAGAGGGGCGGCAACACACCTTTACACCTGGCTGTCCGAGAGCTTCGCACAGAGTGTGTGAGAGAGCTCACCACCTGCCCACGGACCCCACCGGAGCACCTCAGCATCACCAATTATTCAGGTACACTACAAACTCAAGAAAACACATTTTCACTGATTAATATTTAATCTCATTTATTTTATCAGGATATTTCTCTGTCTTTTCCATCCATACTATCCCCTTTCTCTGTCCATCTGTCACTTTAAGGTGTTAGTGCACTGCACCTGGCTGTACATCGGGGCAATATTGATATCATCAAAATGCTATTGGAGGCAGGAGCAGATGCCAATCAACGAGTAAGAAATTATAAACAAAAAAGATATATTTTATAAAAGATCATATTAAGCTTCTTTTCGAGTATATTTTAGTGTTCAGTCATTAACTCTGGCTTTGTAGGATTTGGGGTCAGGTCGGTCTCCATTGCACTGGGCAGTGGAAGGTCAAAGGTCAGAGGTAGTGGATTTGTTATTGAGCGCCGGCGCATTGGTGAATCAGCGCTCGTATGCAGGCCACACCCCGTACTACTGTGCCCTTTACAGACCCAACAAAGAGGTGCAGGCCCTACTTAGTGCCCATGGGGCCACATACATACAGGGCGATGATGAAGAGGAGGAGTACAGAGAGAGTGAAGAGGTTAGAGCCAATCAGACATTTACTAACAGAATGCTTAAAAGTTTGTTTCTGTACTTACCATTTCTCTATCTGTCATAGGAGGAGTTTGATGATGTCATCATTAATGGACAGCGAGTGTTGTAGCTGTAAAAAAAAACATGGACACTACTCTGCCATTGATTAGACCCTTTGAAATCCAGCTGAACAATTGTGGCATCTGAGTGTATTTGGTGGAGGCTATTATGTGTGTCTGTGTGTATATTTTGTTTTAAGGTACAGTATGATGTCAGTATGCTGCTTCTGGTTCAATGGAATACATAGCTAGATTCTGTTAGTCATGGAGGACCTTAGTTATTTAAGCCTGACATCACGCAAAGCCTTTTCAAAGCTATAACAATGGAGGCAGCTTTTTATTTAGTAAAACCTCTCACTGGCTCATCTTGTGTGTGGTCTAAAATGGTAGTTTACCTAAAGATGAATAACCTGCTATCATTTACTCACCCTTATGATGTTTCAAACTTGTATGAGTTTCTCTCTTCTGGGGAAGATAGTTTTTTGCACACAGAAAATGACAATGACGAGTCCAATGTTGTTTGGACAATATATCAAATCTTTTTTTGTGTTCGACAGAAGAAATGAACGTCATAAAGGTTTGGAACGACATGAGGAGGAGTAAATTATGGATGATATAATTTTAGGGTGAACTATCGCTTTAAGAGCCAAATTTCCTGGATGATAACCGACACCTTAGGCTGCGTGCCATGCAAGTAGCATGGCTGTGATACTCCCACTAGTGGGTAGATTCGTTATGTCCACAACATGACAATAGTGGCTTGCTTTCTTTATTTTTAAAACTAAATTATTAGCCAGATTTAGCTGCGAAAATCTTGAAGAGAAAATGAATGGTTTTTAATAAACTGCTTTACTTACTATTACTGTTAAACCAACTATTGGCTGTGTTTTTTGCGTGGAATGTCACTGTTTTCATAGTGACGTCCCAATTGTCTTGTGTGTTTAGAGTGGAGAGTGTTTTTCTTCTTTTTTTTCCCCCACATATATGGGTGTTGGGGTTGAAATAGGTGACAAGAGGTGGATATCTGAATTCGGAGATGGATAGTAGGTCCGACAGCGAGTATAAACGAAATGGATAAAAATTACAGACGTTACAGAATTCTACAGTACAAATGGCAACAAATTCAAAACTGGATGTACAGAAATAGAATTAGAGCTAAATTCTTGATCTAAAGATGTTCATACTCAACTAAACGCTTACAGTTGTATTATTTGAACTGTGAAGCATCTAACAAACATTCCAAATTACATGAAACGCATGACAACACAATTACTTTTTTGTCTTATTAAAGCATCTTAAAATATATTTGAAATATAATATAAAATACAGTATAATATAAAAAATATATATGTCTGACAGACTGTTTTGTTTTCAATTGTTACAAAAGTGGAGAATGATCTCCATTCACTCACTCATACATGCTATTGGGGCATTATGGTTGAGGACATCTACAGTCACCTGTTTATAGGCCAATTTCACATTTTCTGTTTGTTGGGGTGAGCACGAAAAGTTTCTCGATGATTGGTGCCCTCTGTTGGTAATACAGACACTCCTTTGGAAATCAGGGCTCCTAATCGACTGGTACTTGTCCTCTGTGAGTTGACTGTATAATGTTGAGCAGATGTCCTGTTTTAAATTACAAGGTTAATGATTATTCATTCATTGAGAATATGCCATTCTAGATGTAAAAAGAGAGAGGAGGGAGTAATTAAACAAGTGTAGCCATGTCTTAAACAATGAGAGGTACGGTTGATTTTAGGGGAAGCTGGATTTGCATTTGAATATTTCTAATCCATGTATAAACAAACATACTGCAGACAGAGTGATGTATTTGTCCTCTCATCTGTACATATTTATGTGTACTTGGTGATGGGTGAAATGACTGAAAAGCTCTTAGAAACCATTCAAATGGACAATAAACAATAATGACGATAAGACTTGTTTTATTTGTCTTGTTCACATAATCACTTAAATACACAATGTTCTCTTGATGTAGTCACATCTAAACCCAAAGATTGCAGAATCTGTATTACGTGTGAAATGACACTTCATTCAAAAGAAATCATCCTGACTGGATTAGCTGGCTTTGTTATTTTTAAACATGTCTGCTCTCCTTTTTTTATACACACTTGCCCTTTTTTAAGAAGTAACTTAGTATTTAATTTTTTATTAAAATGTTTTGGCAATATTTACTGTCACTCAACCAATAACCAAAGGAAAAAATGAAACAAAAAAACTTTTCAGGATAAATAAGCACATTTTACCCCCTCATATCTGTTTTTAAATTATGATTACTGTCATAGACCTTTAATCAAGGTAGTGTCATATTTTTTACAGAAATGAAAATAAGGCTGTGAGGAATAGAAAAGTTAAAATTAAAGTTTTAGAATCACATAAAAAAATGTGTTTTTTTAAATATAAAAATTAGTATTTGCCATTAATAATAAGAATTGGAGGATAAAATTCTCCTAAAATTAAAAACGTCAGTGCAGAGGATCCTAATAGTAGATTTTTACATTATGCAAGACAACAATTCTTTTTTTCTTTCTTAAAATGTGACCAGAAAACGTCTCTCCCCCTGCCCCCCCCCCCCCCCCCAATACCCCACCATTCAGTGTGGTCTTAAATTCAATATGATTTTCAATTTCACTGTTCACCCTTTCAAGATTCTATTTGATGAATCAATTAAGAGCTCAGGATCAAAGGTAAACTCAGAACCCTTTAGCGGTATGTTCGGCAGTTTTTCTCCAGCATGCACAAAGTTACAGATGATCCAACTCCAAACCCAGCGTACAGCGGTTCAGAGAACGTGGCCTGAAATCTGTGGATGAGCTCCACTGTCTCAGACACAGTGTAAAAGGATACAGATCCTCCAGCGTAATCCAAATACACACCGATCCGTGTGGCACGAGCTGCTCCCGGCAGATCTTTATCCATCTTATTGTGCCAGGCGGAGTATCCAGAGTCTGAGCACAGGAGACTCCAGGATTTATCATTGTATCCCAGAAGGCTGTTGGAGTTCTTACCTTTACGGCTGATGCTCTTGAAGGCGACTCCAATGGAAAATTCACCGTTCCACTCTGCCTCCCAGTAATGCCGTAATCCACTGAGCGGCTCCTTGCACAGGATCTGGCAAAATCCATCGAACCGCTCCGGGTGATCTTGGTAGAACTGGGTTGTTCGCTTACGGATCACCCGGCGATTCCCGTCTGAGAGGACTAGTTCTTTATGGGCGGTGTTGAGATCAAATGTAAGTTTACAAGAATCTGTGAAATAATATTGTACAAAAAATAGACTCCTTTAGCATTTAGATAAATAAGATATTATCATCTGTATAGTGAAGAGATGAATTCATGTTGTCTACACTTACATCTGAGGAAGTCCAGTCTTGATTTAGGCTCTGGGAAGTCATTTCTTATCGGAGCTGAAAATATAGTATAAAGCTAAGCTAAGGTAGGCTACATAAATGAGCCGAGTTGTGCTGTAACATATTCAGAAATGTAGAACCTCTTACCATTCAAACGTCCTCCAGACCTCGGAATAAGGACATAGACTGAAGTGTCACTCACTGAAAAATCAATCATGCAAAAATGAATAGTAGATCAAATATAGAATTTTGTACACTACGATCAAAAGTAGTCGATTTTTTTTTAATATTAATATTGGATATTTTATAAGGATGTATTAAATTGATCAAAAGTGAGAGTAAGGACATTTATGTTACAAAAGATTTGTATTTAAAACAAATGCTGTTCTTTTAGATTTTGTATTCATCAAATAAATTTGCAACTGTTTCTTGAGCACCAAATCAGCATATTAGAATGATTTCTGAAGTAGAATGAATTACATTTTAAGGCCAATTCACACTACAGATACGTTTGTGGGGTTTTGTCAGATTAGATTAGTTTTCGCAGATTGAAATAGAATTAGTTATTTAACCCTTTGATGCGCAAGCTATGGATACCCCTTCTAATGCGCAACATGGGTCTAAAAAGACCCGTATTCATTTCCTATGGTATTTCAGTGATGGCTGAGTGTTTTCTTTGCTAATCTTTAAAATATATGTATTTTATCATTTGTTATTCCAGGTTTTCATTAAATATCTTGTTTTTGATTTCCACAAATCATTGGGTTTATGTTTCCTTTCTTACTTTATAAACAAACACAGTTTTTGTATTTCTACATCAATTTTACATACATGGGTCTAAAAAGACCCGTATTCATTTCCTATGTTATTTAATGCATGGCTGGACTTTTCTTTTCTTTTTATCTTTTGAGATCAATTTATTTAAGCATTTAATATTCCATTATCTATAAATTTCATGATTTATAAATATTTAAAAAATATTTTTTCAATTACCAAAAATATTTTTTTTTTCTTTTTTTTTTCTAGGTTTTGTGTTACTATATCAAATGTACTTATCAAGCATAATAAAACAAAAGAATAAAGACAACTTTTTGTTAAATTAATCATCTTAGAAGTAATTAAATTTAGACAACACATTTAACACTTGAAATGTTTATTTGCCACTTTGTCTCGCATAGCATTCACATGTCACAGATAACTGATAACTGATAACACTGAAATTGAACTGTGGTGTAGTGTAACTGTATTGAATTGTGGTGAATGTGATCAAAGAAAAGAAAACAGAAAAAATAAAATCACACTGGTACAGCGGCATCTCAAATTGCCATCTTAGTGCTTACGTGCCTCACAAATGACAACTACATGTTTGTGCTCCTTGCACACAGGCCTGGTGCTCTGGGAACACCAGCTGCTGAATTGTCTGTCTTTAGCAGAGCTGGGCATCATTTCAATCATAGAATGATTTCAGTATAAGAATCATTTCAGCATATGAATGATTATGAACTGTTAGGCCTACTAAATGTAAATAAGCTTTAAAAAACAATCTTTTTTTTTAGTGTATAGTTAACATTAGCTAGCTAGAATATGTCAACAGCTAGCTAGCTAATAGTATTGGACATGTTTCTCCTCACAAGTAATTTCTCACTAGGTTTACAAGGTCAAGGTAACCATAGCCTAATATTGAGATATTATGTTGTAATCTTTTACAATATATAAAAAAATGTCTGTGGTTAAAATAAAATAAGATTAATAATAATTTTTGACCCATGTATGTAAAATTGATGTAGAAATAAATAAATAAAAAACCTAACATAATGATTTGTGGAAATTAAAAACAAGATATTTAATGAATACCTGGAATAAGAAATGATTAAAAAACATATTTTAAATTAAAGATTCAGCAAAGAAACACTCAGACATCACTGAAATAACATAGGGAATGAATATGGGTAATTTTAGACCCATGTATGTAAAATTGATGTAGAAATACAAAAACTGTGTTTGTTTATAAAGTAAGAAAGGAAACAAACATAATGAGTTGTGTAAATCAAAAACAAGATATTTAATGAATACCTGGAATAAGAAATGATAAAAAAAAACATATATTTTAAAGATTCAGCAAAGAAACACTCAGCCATCACTGAAATACCATAGGAAATGAATATGGGTCTTTTTAGACCCATGTATGTAAAATTGATGTAGAAATACAAAAACTGTGTTTGTTTATAAAGTAAGAAAGGAAACATAAACCCAATGATTTGTGGAAATCAAAAACAAGATATTTAATGAATACCTGGAATAACAAATGATAAAATACATATATTTTAAAGATTCAGCAAAGAAAACACTCAGCCATCACTGAAATACCATAGGAAATGAATACGGGTCTTTTTAGACCCATGTTGCGCATTAGAGGGGTTGCTATACAAAAACTATTTTTATTCAAAAAGTAAGAAAGGAAAAATAAAAATAAGGATTTGTGATGATCAAAAACAAGTTAATTGAGGAATACCTGGAATACTGAATGATGAAATTAATTTCTTGCAAAGATATAGAAAATGAAAACTGAGTCGGGTCTATTTAGACCCATGTTGTGCATCAAAGGGTTAAAATTGTATAATAATATAACAATATTACTGTTTTTACAGTATTTTTTATTTTAAATAAATAAAATAAGCCTCTGTGAGCATAGGATTTTTTTAAAAATATATAGATATAAATAAGTCAATACACAAGTCATTAAAGATATTACATAAGTCTAAATAAATCCCATGTCTTTTCTTTAGCCTCTCAGTGGTTAAATGTTATAGTCTTCATTGTTACCTCGTTTGGAGATGTTTCCCAGCTCTTTCTTGCAGATGTTGTCCAGGTGTTCTTTCATGTCAGAGACGGTCTTGGTGATCTCACCAAAGGAAAACTCTGGGTTTATCAGCACTTTAGGCACCATGGGCTCCGGTGCAACCGATAGTGTGGGAAAATTCTGCACAAATAATAAAGACACTTAACAAAATCTGTGCTGCTAAGTAGCTTCCCTGAATGTCCATATTAAATTTCCAGTCAGACTAGTTCACAGATTTCAACTTTCTCAATGGTGGAAATCCAGGATGATAAAAATAAAACTAGTGAAATGTGAGAGGCTGTTCTTTACCTGAAGGAAGTGAATGTTGTCCTCTGTGTCAAGTATTTGACGTAGTTCAGCATCTCTCTTCTGAAGCTCCATGATCTCTTGTTCAAGTCGCTCTATGTAACCCTGAGCCTGTCAGTACATTAAAGCTATCACAGTCTGAGAGTGGGGAACAGCAACAGTAGCAGCTCTATAAGCAGTGTGTGTGAAACATATCCAACGCATTCTCATCCCAAGGCATCATATACGTCGCTTTTGCCAAAGCACCAACATGGATGTGGGAATCAACAGAATCTGTGAATTTTAGTTTTTGTTGATTTATTTTCACAGCCTTCTTTGTTCATATTTACCAAGGGTGCCACTAATTCTGACCATAACTGTATGTTTTTTCCCCTTAAAAACTTAAAACAAAATAGTTTATCTCACCACAGTTCCCCAATAAGCAGATAGGGTTTTAAATGGATAAAATGAATGCATCACTGATTTTAATTTATTCACATCTGAATATAATGTGTAAGCACCTGAGCCATGGAGGCCTGTAGGTTGGCCTGTATGAGTTGGCTTATCTCAGCATGCCATCGCTCTACCGCCTGTAACATCTCGCTGAAGATTTTATCACTGTCAGTCTGTGCCCGCGGTGCATTTCCCTACAGAGAAAGGGTACTTTTAGTAAAAAAAAAAAAAAAAAGAAAGAATGCGTTTCACGTACAACGATATAACTTGCTCATTAACTACTATAGTATGATGCATCATTATAGAATAACGAACCATATAACCATATAGTGGAACGGAGATGCATCCATTGATCAAATTTCCCACGATCAAAGAAGATACTAATACGCATGTGCACAGCAAAAATAACAACTTTTGCTGGTTGCGTACGCAAGTTATTTAAGGTGTCTCACTGTACCTATGTCTCAACTGTACCCGTCCTACCCTACTCGAAGAACATTGGCTCTCTGCAGCGTTCCTTATTCAGTCAACCGACGTTATCGACTAAAAGGGAATTATGCTTCTAATCAAAACTCGAGAACTGTAGTTCCAACCCAACCACGCAAGTCTGTGCAAATGTTTATTGAAACGGCAATTTGTTGAACTATGTTGATAACAACGGAACTTGTCAAACCATGCTTTCGTGTTTCGCCCAGAAGCTTCTTTAGGACTCTCTATCCGGACTGGACTAACCTTAAGAACATCCACGTTGTGTCTGAGTTCTTGAAGTTCTTTCATTCGGTCCTGGATAATGTGCTGAACCTCTGTCTGCGTCACAACCAAGACTTTCTATAATCACACAGAAGAATGTATGCAAAAAAGAGAGCTCTGAGATTACAGTCTTCATTGCAGCAGATGTTAGCTAGACAAAATATTTATCCAGGAAGATAAATAATACCATACCTTTTGATAAGAGAATTGAAATCTGTGACAGTCCACATAGAATGAGGCATAGAGTAAGGCTAGTTGTCAGTTTACTTTTTAACTTTCGAAAATTTATCTGGATAGGTTAATTTTTCAAAGTCAAGGCAGAAACCTTAAAGATTTATGAAATCTTCAAAAAGCTATTTACATTTCCACTGTTATTGCCGGGAAACAACAAACAAACATTCATTATGAAACACAAAAATACCAATCCACTGAATATGAATTAATTATTTAAAAAATACATGAATGTATAAACCAGTTCAAACCAGCTGTGACAACTTTCCCTGACTTTTATGAAAAATATCCTAAAGTAAAGCTGACGAAAATTATGATCCAGAAATTCACAAAATCACAAACATTATTGAATTTAATTTAATACATTTTTGACAAGATGTTTGAAACCGAAACACATAAAACTGCTAATATAAAATAACCAACATATTTGTGTAATTGATTTACAGATATGGCCTCTGTTACAACTTGTTTCTGGTCTACTATCGACAATTATAATCTCCTCATGATGTCTCACCTGTTTCTCTGTGCGTTCATCGTCTGCACTGACTATGTTGTGGCTGCGATGTTCTCGTACTGTACACAGCACACAGATGCACATCTGGTCTGAGCGGCAGAAAAGCTCTAAGCCTTTTTCATGCTGCGGGCAGATTTTCCGATCTAGGTGTCCTGTCTCGTCCACCAGTTTATGTCGTTTAAATGTGGCTGATTCATAGTGAGGCTTGATGTGCGTTTCGCAGTAATAGGCCAGACACATCAGACACGACTTCACCGCTTTGCTCCGCCGGCCGGTACAGAAATCACACAGCGCGTCACGCTTGAAGTAGGGAAAAGGAGTTAGCTCACGTGGGGGCGGCCTAGGCTCCGGGTTGCCTACGTGGGGTACGTTACGTCTGAGTATGGGCCGAGGAGTGAAGGTCGCCTGGCACTGAGGACAACTATACACGCCGAGGTGGTCAGAATGGTCCCAGTAGATCTTAATGCACTCCAAGCAGAAGGTGTCTCCACATGGGATGGTGACGGGGTCTCGCTGGGTGTCTGTGCAGAGTGGACAGGTGTAGTCCAGGTAGTCAGATTCAGCCATTTTCTAAAAGAAAGACGAGAGAAAGACAGGTGAATTGAAAGAGCAACTGAAGCAGGAACACACCTGTATTTATAGATTAGCACCAAAGGTGGAGGTGCTGAACTACAAACACAGTATGAGCTTAGATGAGGGTTTAAGAGAGGCATATGTACAGGTATCCTGTTTCAGGAGGTCACTTAAAACATAATTAGAGCAAATGCTAAAGAAAGAATTAAACTGATAGATCAGTGATCACCCAGAAAATAAAATTGTTATCATTTACTCTCTCTCATGTCATTCCAAACCTGTATGATGTTGTTTCTTCTGCAGTATATCAAAGAAAATATTTTGAAGAAATGTGCTCTCTCTCTGTACATGCACAGCAGCGAAATGTGAAACTGTTTTGTCTGTCAATATGGAAAGTCGTTAGAATAAATTTGTCTAGTCAGTGCTTGTTTTCTGTGAGTAAACTACTGTGACATGACAGCACAGTGTGTACTGTACACACTCAGCCTAGTGTCATGCAGGTAGAACACAAACACACATACATGCTGGATCAGAGAAAGGAATAATTTCAAGGTTAAACTGTCTGGTGTGAAGGGAAATTTAGTACAGGGTAGATGCCCTTTCTGCTCATAATTCAGCTCAAGAGTTATCATACCCAGGCTGATCATAGCTTACTTGTCATGGCCACAGAGGCGGGCTAGAATTTTCAGGAAGTGAAGATAAGACATTGCTGCCACTTTCGGGTGTGCATATGGCATCTGTCGAGTCAGATCCTGAGATGACAGCCATGCTTTCCCAGGACGATTGGTTTTTGGGTGTGGCCGCTGACTCCTGTTGGTGTCCACTCCAATACCTTTTTCCCCGAATGTGCATCAGGAGATCTCGACATCCTTGAAGTCTTCCAGCGATCCCCTGTTGATCTCCCCATGGGTCCCCCCGGGTTGAACGCTCTATTGTGCTGCTACTGTGTCCGCAGATTGCTTCTTCTTGGCGCGATCCTAAGCACCCATCCGCCGCCTGTAGCTTTTCGTCTACACTTGTGGCGAATTCTATAGTGCTGAGGACAGGCAGCCGCCTCTCTGCATGCCGTGGCCATTCTGTTGGTCTACCACACCCAGATGCTCACGGACATGCACGAGGGCGGGACTGACCCGGGGCTCTTCAAAGAGCTGCGCGCCGCCACTGACCTTGCTCTCTGAGTGACGAAAGTGGGCGTGCGCTCCCTGGATCAGGTGGATCAAATACATAGCACTTTGAGCTTGGACCCCTAATAATATGATAAGAAATACCAGTCTGCAACATCACGTAGCATAACATAATGTTTTTGTACAGTTAAAATGACTGAAAACGGATGATAAAGGAAGCCTTGCACATTAAAGCTAAACATAAGGTGTTTCCTGTGCATTCACAATGGTGTCCTTGCAGGTCCAAGGAGGGAATTGTAAATGATGCTGAGCCACCATCTGGATGAGCTGCCAGACCTGCGCTTCAGAGAGAAAAAACACACACATTCTTTGCACAATTTGTGTTTGCACGAATTAATACCAAATGAGCAGTGTTTATATGACACAGCCTATGACAGCCAGTGTGCATTGTGGTGGAAATTTTAGATCATCAAACCTTATTTAACATTTGAACAGAATGTACTGTATGAAAACAATGGAAAACGTATGACTTTGAGTGTGTGTATATGGGAAATAAAACTAGAAAAGTTTGAAACCTTGTGATTATGAAGTAATCAAGAACCAATCAAATTGTAGGTAAATTATGTTATGTATCGTGTAATTTGTCATTCTATAAAAACTGTTTTATTTGTTTTTACTGGTGTGATTCTCAATGGGATTTGTCTGAGATCCTCCGGCCAGGCTTATTGCCTCTTTTTGGGTGATTCTCTGAGAACTGCTCGAGAACTCTCGGCCGTAATAAAGAACATTTAGAGAACAATTACTCAAGTCTGTCTGTTCTGTCATTTAAGATGCGCAGCTAGAGAACAAATACGTTAGAATTATTAGCTCAGCAGTAGTCGTCCGGAGACTCGCTGAGTACGTCCGGAGACACGTCGGAGTATAGTTAGGGACAAAAGGCTGTAGTCACCTGAAGGGTTAACATAGCTAACGTTAAGTATATATAGATGAGCTAGCATATACGTTATAATAGTATAGTTTGTTTTAGGGAGACAAATCTAAAATAGTTAGGCTTGAGGATAAAAAATCCATCACAGCATCCTTTTATTACCAGTCTCCATCTTCTTGAATATGCCGCTATACCTAATGTTTTTTTGTTCATATATGGACCAGAATCTTGAGAGAATGTTTCCAAGACCTTGTTGAACGTCACAAATAATTAGGCTAATTATGCTTTCTTTATTTACCGCGAACAAACACATTGTCGTTTTCAGAGAAAGTACTTTTTCCTTGTCATTCACGTATAATTATTCATGTACAAACACATAAACTAATAAACCATTTATACCAAGATAAAATGTTTGAGGAAATACTGGAAATTGTCATTCTCGATCCCCATTTATAACAGTTATTTAGTTATTTTGTACCTTCATTATTTTTCACTGATTTCCTAACTTTATAAATTACAATTTATAGGCCGTATGAGGTTAACTTTACTGAATGCTTTTGCAAACTCATGCAGGTATGGTTATGCACTTTGATCTGTTTTTATTTCTTTTTCATGTGCGTTCAATATTTTATTGGTTATGTGTTTATATCGAATGCTGGAAATGTGTGGGATTGAAGAGGTACATTATATGAAATGGATTTGAATAATAAGAGTGATGCAATACAAACTCATCATATCAATGGATATTTTTGATATAATTCTTTGAAATTAAATTACTGATTGCATTGTGAGGTCTTCTATACAAGACATTTCCTGCAATATTGTATCTGATATAATCTTATTATTTCCTTTATATTACTTTATTATTGTAAATGAGATTGTCTGCAATATTGTGAACTAGCTTCAGTCCACGGGAGGTCTGAGCTGAGCAAGGAGCAGGCTGATTACAACGATTTGGCGGCATTTTCCAATTTATGCAGATTATGCCTTTGGATAAAAGAATCACTGAACTGCAGATTTGACTCCAGTCTTTATTCAACATCACACAACACAGCGCAGCGCAGGGTGGTAGCCAATTCGTAGTGAGAGACGCACTCATGTATGCCCAAACCGGCTACATAGCCCTCATCTCTCCAAAAATGTGTCTGAGGTTTGTATCACCAAGACTAAATTTTGTTTGGCCTGGTTGCAGTTATGTTAGATAATTATCATGTTTACATTAACTGCAATATGGCCAAATTCCAGTTATTAAATCATATTATTCTTGTGCATGTGCTGTAAACAGACATTGTTCCTCTAGTTGTGCTGTCAGAAATGATGAGTTTTTCCGTTAGTGGGTCTCATCCATGCGGTTGGAGTTGTCTGTAAGTGGTGAGCGCTCAGAGCCATTAGACAGAGATGCACTGAAGCCATTATAGCAAATAACATTTAGAGCATCACAGTCTAACAACATGTGTACGTGTGTGGACTCACTATCTGCTCCACGGAGACTAAGGGTGTGGCAACAGAGAGAGAGACAAAGACAGACGGAGGAGAGGACAAGGAGGGAAAGAAGGTTGAAATTGAAGGAGTACTTATAGTCAGCAAAGTAAAAGAGAGGACAAATATAAAGAAAAGAGCCCAACAGGAAGAGAATTTTTTAATAGCGGGAGGACAAGAGGACATGTGGCAGAGAGAGAGAGAGACGAGCGAGTGAAATCATCATTTGTGCTGGGCTGTGCTCTCTCCTCCCCTCTCTCTTACGTCATTGTACACACACACACACACACACACACACAGCACAGGCATAGAGGAAGACGGAGAAACCTTTCAGCATCCTTTCAGTAGCATCTTAGCATCAGTATCCAAGATTGTCCACCTCACTGTCAGGTAGGCTTGAATCTCTCCAGCTCTTTCATTCTCACTAACACACACCCATCTGGAAGTCTATATGTTATGTTATATATATATATGTTATGTATATTATATATACACAAGGCCAAACAAGACCAGCAGGAATCCATGCATGAGACGCAGTAAGCTTGTTTTTATAGTACATATTTCACATATATTTAGAGTACATTTGAATATGTATTTCGCACATAATGAATAAAAGGAATATAGGCAGCACTATTTTTTTTTTACCAGAAGCTTTTAATTTCTTCCTTTTTAGTTTCATGTATTTTTTTTTTAAAGATGTACTTTCACTTTATTATTCCATCTATAAAAGGTAAATGCAGTAGTACATTTATGATGCTTTTACGTATATGATGCCTTCACGAATTAAAAATACCCAAAGAGAGAGAGAGAGAGAAGGAGAGAGGGGAAGCAAGCAAACACAGCTGAAGCTAATTTAGTAAAGTGGACTTCATTAAAATACTGTTTATAGTTGTATGTCCCCACAAGGATAGTGAAACCTGAAATCGCCTACATTGTGGGAAACAGCCAGCAATCCCCTCAAGGGAAATGGAGTAATTAACACACTAAGGGATTTTTATATATTTTTTTTTTTGTAAAAGTAAAAATGCAGAAAGATTTCAGTGATGGGTAGGTTTAGGGTAAGGGTTAAGTGAGGGGATAGAATATACCATTTGTACAGTATAAAAACCATTAAGCCTATGGAGAGTCCCCACAAAGAGAAACCAAGTATGTGTGCATGTGTGTAATAATGTCCTCATGGGATTTTTTAAGTCCCCATTAGGAAAACAGGTTATTAATCAAACTACTTGTTTTTTGATAATGTAAAAATGCAGAAAGTTTTATACGATGGGTAGGTTTATGGTTTTTGGATTTGATATGCAGTTTGTACAGCGTAATAAAGTAATACGTATGTCTATGAATTGTGACCATAAAACATGAATACCCAACGTCTCTCTCTATGTGAGTGTGTGCGCGGGTGTGGAGTAAATGAGAATGATATTTGTGAGCATGGATCATGGAACAGTGTGGGACAGTAACTCTGGGTGTAACGAGTACAGAAACATTACAGCACCAGGAGAGCAGCTTTCACTGTACATAACAGACATCAAGACATACATTATTAGGAGAGGTCATGCTATTTATTATTATATTAACATTAATTATATAAGTAACACAGCCTTGAGGAAAACAGTAACTATATATAAAAAAACACAAAGTACACATATTTTCATTAAAGGTCCTATATGTAACTTTTCTTCTAAAATGAATCCTTTTTTATTGCCTGTGTGTGAAGGGGTTGTAATCACAGATTACAATGATCCACTTGTCGGGTTTTGATATTACCTCTGAATGCCAGTATTCCTATTTCTATGTGAAGTCTCTGGGTTAAATTTTCTGCGAAATCCATCGGGTGTGACACGCATGCGCACTCCCGAAACTCTCTCCTTTTTATATACAGTCTAAGCAACAGCACTGCAGCTGACGAAATCGAGTTTGATAACACCAAAAAACGACCTGCCTCCAGCACAACACAGACTCAAACTCAAACTCCACAAAAATATAAAAAACTAAAAATTTATCTGCTGAAGCTCGTCAGGCCAAACGTGAATCGAATCGACTTAGGACAAAAACACGGATCAAAACTGGCAGAGCGTTTGAATTATGAAGAGACCTCCGCTATTTTTATTGTGATAAATTACAAGTTTTCAGATATGCTGAAATAATGGTAAACTGTAATGAAATAGCAAGGTAAACTACAACTAAACTATATGAGAAATGAATACAAAAGACTGTTTCAAGATAATAAAAAAATCAATCTTTCTAATAAAGATAGAATAGTTAAAAAGAGAAAGAAAGAAGGAAAGATGGATTAGTTAAGAAAGAAAGAAAGAAAGAAACAAAGAAAGAAACAAAGAAAGAAACAAAGAGAAATAAAGAAAGATATAGATGGATTAGTTAGAATGAACGAAAGATTTTGAGTTTATTTATTTTTTTAGTTATTGTGTTGTACACTACTAGGCCAATGTAGTCTTGGCTCAATTTGAACAGTTGCAATGAAAGTCAATAGGATTTTTATGATTTTTAATATTATTTTTTAAGAAAACTGAAACTCAAATTAATCTGAAAAGATAGCAACTCGAGTCAGAAAAAATCTGAAGGTCTGACCCGAGTTTGGTGGTCGTAGCTTTAAAGGACAACTCCGGCGCAAAATGAACCTTTAGTCTAATTACACATTGTTACCTAGTCAACCGTTATCTGAGATTTGTTTTCATGATTGCCTAATGTAAATAGGTTTATCTCTAAAAACAGTTTAGCCTATAACGCTAGTATAATGCTAGTATATGGGGCATAGAGTAATGACAAATAAAAATCGCTTGTTATTACCACTAAAAAGGCTCAAAATAGCCCCACACTAACACGAAAGCATAACAAGGGTCCCTACATTCAAACCGAAGCATTGAGAACTTTGTCAGTGTCCATACAGTTTAATAAGCAGATATTTTATACACACAGTCAACTTCGCGAATACAGGAAGAAGACTATTTTTCTAAAATGGCTTCTTCCTGTATTCGCGAAGTTGACTGTGTGTGAAAAATATCTTCATATTAAACTGTATGGACACTGACAAAGTTCTCAATGCTTCGGTTTGAATGTAGGGACCCTCGTTATGCTGTCGTGTTGGTGTGGGGCTATTTTGAGCCTTGTTAGTGGTAATAACAAGCGATTTTTATTTGTCATTGCATTATACTGGCGTTATAGGCTAAATTGTTTTTAGTGATAAAACTATTTACATTCGGCAATCATGAAAACAAATCTCAGATAACGGTTGACTAGGTAGCAATGTGTAATTAGACCAAAGGTTCATTTTGCGCCGGAGTTGTCCTTTAACGTTATAGGAGGAGATACAGTCTAAAATTTGGCTCAGAAGAAGAAGTGAAAAAATAATGTTTAAGTACAATAAGTACAAATACTATTATAGTTAAGTTTTCCAAGCCAACTTAACTATAATAGTAAGGAGTGGAAAGATCCATATAATGTTGCAATAAAACATTATAAAATGATGTATGAAAAAAAGTTAAAGCTCAAAACATCTTTTTGTCTGTTTTTTTTTTTTTTTTTAATTATGTCTTTCTTTCATCCTAGATCTGACAGCATGGCTGAGGGTTCAGGTGAGGTTTCGCTGGCAGAGGTTGAGACAGCATTTCGTAAATTTGCGGTTCATGGAGACACCAAAGCAACAGGGAATGAGATGAACGGGAAAAATTTTGTTAAGCTGTGTAAGGACTGCAAGGTCATCGATGGGAAAAATGTCACCAGCACGGACGTGGACATCATCTTCAGCAAAGTCAAGTATGAGTATTCGCACTATGACTGACAGCAAACTGTTTTATTTTTAATCCTGTGCAATGGACGCATGCATGACTGGGCCTAACTTTGTGCTGTTCTGTGTCTGCTTATGTACTATCTTAGGGTTAAATCAGCACGTGTCATCACGTTTGAGCAGTTCACTCAGGCCATGGCCGACTTGGCTACAAAACGTTTTAAAGGGAAGAGTCAGGAAGAGGCAGTACAGCTTCTCTACAGTCTCATGGCTGGCAAAGAACCAGCCAACATTGGTGTCACTGTGAGTCCCAGCCAATCAAATCAGTCTGTTTTCATAGATTAAGCAATAACCATGTCCAATAACCATGGATAATCTGTTTCTCTCCGCAGAAAGTGGCAAAAGCCTCTGCTGTGGAAAGGCTAACAGACAGCAGTAAGTTCACTGGTTCTCATAAGGAGCGTTTTGATCCGTCTGGAAAAGGAAAAGGCCGTGTTGGGAGGGAAGACATCCCTGACACCAGTGGATACGTCTCGACATACAAAGGCCAAGGCACCTATGACAGCAAAGTAAAAGAGGACGAATGAGAGAGAGAAAAATGCTTTATGCATGCAAGTCTTCCTGGTTTTATTTCCATAGCTGAGTTGTAACTTGCCTGCAAAAATAAACCCTGGCTAAAACTTTGCATGAAAACCCATGTCTTTATCACTTTCATACACCAGTCTGTCATCATCTTACAGATGTTTTTAATGTGGTAAAATCCACTGTCTCTAACCAACTTGCCTTTCATAAGTTATATAATTTTAAGAATAAATAAAACCAAATAAAAACAGCTAAAGGGTTAATCATGTCATCATGTACTCATCATTGTGTTGTGCATGACTTTCTTCTGTGGAACATAAAAGATTTACAATAGTTTAAAAAGTTTAACTTAAAAAGTGTGTCAGTTTTTGTTTGACCCAACAATGGAAGCCAACCATTCTGATTGGTTACCAAAATTCTCCAAAATATCTTCTTTTGTGATTCACAGAAGAAAGAAAGTCAGTAACATAATTATGCATAATTACAACTAACCATAAACCCAACACTAATCCTAACCGTAAGCCTGTATGTTGTTGTAAGATTCCTCAGTACTTAAATGTATAATTACACTGCAACAATTAAGAAAACATTAAAATTGTAACCAGAAAGTCTTGATTTTTGGTTAAACTATCCCATTAAGTGATTCTTTTTCTCTGCTGGTGTTAATACTGTATGTGTGCTGGATAAATTAGCTTTAATGTGTGTTTACGCTTTGTTGAACTGAGATCTCTATCAGACTGTAAACAATGAACTGAGTCGATGCAAATAAAGTCAAATGAAGAAATGCCGTGCGGGAATATTTTACTTAAATTACAACACACATTATTGTGATGTTTTGCATCATTTATGACTGTCTTGTGTTACAATGTAGACAGAGGCGTGGTGCGTTTCTTTGAATAGCTGTTCTAGGGCTTCAATCATTACAAAACAGAGATACTTCCTGGGAAAGTGCATGTTTGATTGCTTAGAAAAGCTTTCATAGATAGCTGAGATATCAGCTTTCATCATATTTCATGGCTTTGATGCGTGTCATTGTGTTATATGTACAGTAACTCGTGGGGTTTTGTATTTCAGTGTATCTGAGGCAAGTAACAGTTACATGAATTGATATCTCCCTTGTTGTATTTTTTTTTTCATATTGCCGATGTAAAGCTCCTCTTTAAATACACACACATACATGAATCTCCCTACCTGAACACAGGAGGAGGAGGAGTGCTGTCAGGATATAAAGTTGAACATCACACCGACTCTGATTTTCATTTGCTCCCACTGAGACTCAAAGGGAAGAAACAGAAACAGCCATCAGACATGAAAGGTGAGAAAATAAACCACCATTTCTGTACAGAAATAATTATTCAGAGAGTAAGTGCCTAACAAACTTGGCAGATATGCACCTGTTAAACATTCAGTTGGAAAAAAAAAAAACATTCAGATGTTGCTTGTGTGTCTTATATATATATTTATTATAGCAACATTTTATAATGTCATTTGTTTTTCATTATGTATTACATGTCTATTGGAAACTACTTCAGAATTGTATTTATTATTTTTTTAAACAAAATAAATAAAGACATTTTGGCTAGAATTATATATACAGCTTTTAAAGACTAATAAGCTTATCTAATATTTAAGAGGCAGAAGCATCTTATTGTTGTTACATTCATTTGTTTATATTGTGCTAGAATCTACAGACTTTTTTAGATCAGCGGTTCTCAAACTGGGGGCCGTGGCCCCCTGGGGGGCCACTAGATGGCGCTAGGGGGGCCGCAAAGAAATTCTAGAATATGAAATTATTTTAAAAAAATGATTTTACCTGTATGTAAGTTTGTATTGTCCTATGTGAAATCTGCATTGCATGATTTCTTTTATATTGTAAAACTTGTATAAAATTGTATGTCTTCTATATTGAAAAACTATTTCTTTAAGTAGAGTAGAATTTTTTTTTGTTTCTTGCAGAAAAAAAGATTGCTGAAAAAACAGATTGCTGTTCAAAATTGCAAACCAAACTTGAGCCACTGTCATTTACTACCTTAAAATGTAAGAAGTTTAATGCACTTTTTTACAATCGGCAAATTAATTTTTCAGTGTTCATCTTTTATATGAACATCACAAATGTTCAGTATTCAATACTTTTGTTGCACTTTTCAGACAATATTATTGTTAACTGTCAAAACCATTTTTTATAAAAAATTGTTATATTTAATGAAATGTACAATTTAACTAATTTTGTATATTCAAAGACATAAAGCTACAAACAGAACTGTTGTTCCAGCATTGTACAAATTCATTTGTTTTTGGTACAATCTAAAATTTGTAAGTAAAATTGTACGTTTGAGGATGTTTTCGTTACGAGTTTTCTTTTGGGGGGCCACAAAATGATTCACCCTACACAAGGGGGCCTCCTCCTGAAAAAGTTTGAGAACCACTGTTTTAGATTATGAAACAAATCTATGAAACTCTATGGAATCGATTTGCGTAAAATGTTTCAATGCAACTGAAGTTGCTGCACTCTTCTTGGTAGTCGTAATAATTATTAAATTATGCTTAAGGGGAAAGTCTGCAGATGTAGATTATATGTGGGCTGAGTTATAAGTGAAAGATTTGTATACATTTGATTTCATGGTTCAAATTTCATGAGCTTGAACTAAACAGACTCAGAGCCATACAAAATGTGGGTTACACTTCATTTCTATAGTCACTTTAGACATTCTACTAATTATAAGTAACTTTTCAACTACATGCCAAGTAACTCTCATTAGATTATTAGTATATTATAGTAGACTGTCATGGTTAGGTGTTAAGCTTTGGGTTAGGAGAATAAGTTTACTTGAAGTCGCCAAGTTACTTATAGTCAGTTAAACGTCTGTTGGGGGACCAACAAAATAAAGTATTAGTAGATATTAAGTTGACAGTCTACTAATACTCTAATGACAGTTAGTTGACATGTAGTTGAAAAGTTATTTATAGTTAGTACAATGTCTAAAGTGGACTATCGAAATAAAGTGTTCCCAAAATGTGTAATGTAATCATAGTTATGACAGAATTGTGATACTCTTTGTGCAAAATTTGATCAGGAAAAGGCCTTGTGCTGTTCTTTGTGTTGCCATTGGTGTTCGGCCAGCAAAAGACCTTCCCCTGGGACGTGCCAGAACAAAACCTTGCTCCAGACCCCATCAACCGTAAGAATCATTGCAAGTCTCCTTGAAAATCTAACAATGATAACAATGTAAATGGAACAGCAACATAAAAGATTTTGCGACATTTTGCGACTAATATCTTTATTCCTCTCTACGTAGCGTGTCTGACTGACCAAGAATCATGTGGTTGTTGTGTGATGCAGAGGAAAAAATGGCAGTTAGAAGAATATTTAAACTCCAGTATGAATTCACTGGAGGATTCACTGGCCAGAGCACAAAACACACTGAGAAACATAAGAGGTACACACAAACGCTGCTATCTTTGAGCACATACACCATCTCAAGCTCAACAGACTCTATGGACCTTTAGTTTTTTAAATAAACATTAAAAAATGTACAGAGCGGATGTTTTAAATTATTTTTTTATAAAAAAAAATATATATATATATATTTCTTTTGTTATTTTTTTACATATATGTTCCTTGTTCGTCTTTAGAGAATCGAGTGGCGTTTTCTGTGGGTCTAACCGACAGGAGACGCTGTATTGGTCCGGCAAGGACGGCAATAAATGTGGTCTATCAGAGCATCTTTATCAACATTGGAGAGGCCTACAACTCATCCACTGGTGTGTTCACGGTTCCACGGTCAGGTGTTTATAACCTGGCATTTACCGTGTTCAGCGACGCAGGCTCACCAGGCGCAACGCTGTCCGTCTGTACCAGTATCAGGAGGAATGGTGTGGCTCTAGCAGCACTTAGGGAGATGTATGATCAAGACCAGGAGGACCAGGCCACAGCGGTCTTACTTGCGCAGCTCAGAGTCGGCGACCGCATTACCATCAGTCTCCACACAGGCTGCTGGCTCTGTGATGATCAGAATCGTTACAACACATTCAGTGGATTTCTGCTGTATGCTACAGAGTGAAGCTCACATTCACAGACATTAAAAGCTAAATTAGTGAGGAGCTCTCATAGATGCAATGTATTCAACTATTTGACTTTTTTTTTTTTTTTGACATTATTGACTATTTGAAACTTTCTGCATTTTTACATTTTCAAAAAAACTGTTTTGAGTCAGTGAGTCATTTTGAAGTGCCCACCGGAATAGAAAAAGACAAACACACACAGACACAGACACACAAACACACACAGTAAGATAAATGTTGTAAAAGGCACAGATGTTGAACTAACATTAATAAAATAAAATAGAATTGTTTCTCTATCATTTACGTTCTCCTTCCCCTAGTACTTCATCTCTATATAAAAAATATTTGGTTGATTACACCAATCCTCTCTTTAACTAGATTAAATGTCTCTTATTGTATTATATGTATGTCATTTCAATATTATGGTTTTTGTAAATACATAAATGTAACCAAACAGTGTTTCAGTAACACATTCTCAACGGCTACCATAAGTAAAAATCAATAATCATAGACTAAGATCCTAAACTTCCAATATTTTATTAATTTTATTTAGCAATAATCAGTAATTTAGCTAGGTACCTATTCATATTTCTCAATATTTTTTCTCAAAGTAATAAAATAAAGTTATAAACTTAAGTATTTAATAATATAAATACGTAGTAACTTTAATACTCTCTACTTATTATAAGCTGTAGAGAGTCATGCCTGCTTTGAAAATAATTAAAAAAAAAAAAAAATACATTACATAATTCATTAAATAAAACATTTAGGCAGGCTGTTGTTTTATGAGAAACAACGTGTGTTTGTTGGTTAACAACCTTTTCTAGTGTTATGGAATGAGCTAATCTGAAACATGTATGAAGTGTTTTGGTAGATTTAGTGCATTCTGAATGTGAAATTAACTGTTAATTTAATGAAGGAAGGAAATTAATGAAGGAAGGAAATTAATTCCCATTTCCTTCTGCAAGATGATAATGCTGTGTAACTTACACAGATGAAGTTTCAGAATTACATCACTGGGATGAACCATTTTAAACCAAACAACACAAACAAGTATTTTTGATGTCACTAAAGAACAAAACATTACTGGTCCATTGATAATAAGCGTCTTGATACACCCATAACGGATAAGATCGAATCGGTTACCTAACGTAACCTCGGTTCTCTCTAGATGAGGGAACGAGTATTGCGTAAGCTAGCTTACGCTACGGGAAAGATTCATCTTTGCTGAGAAGTTGAAGCCAAAAAATTATTCCATAATTTTGTAATCATTGTCAACGCAGTCTCTTCTGAGGCAGACCATGAGCGGGCTAGCTAGCGGCTCATTGGTTCGCTCAGAGAGAATGCACGAACCTATGGGAGAGCGGCGCTGAGTCCGCGGCCAATGAGCGGACGGCGCTCGCTTACTGCGTCACAGCCCGCCAAAAGGGGCGTGGCTACAGTGTATAAAGGTCGCTCTCCCAGCTCGTTCGTTGATTCTGTAGCATGAAGCGAAACGCTGGTGGCGCAAGCACGGCCGGGAACGCAATACTCGTTCCCTCATCTAGAGAGAACCGAGGTTACGTTAGGTAACCGATTCGTTCTCTTACGAGAGGTTCTCTCGTATTGCGTAAGCTAGCTTACGCTACGGGAACACCTGGTCAACGCCGTGCGCGCTAAGTAACCACTAAGCATCCCAGGGGAACACCGGGGGAATCTATAAGTGGATGAAGATAATACGGCGGCCAGATAGCGGCCGTTACTATCTAGTGCAAAAACGCCCAAGGCGGCCGGCGAAGGCGGGCCGTGATGTGAAGGCTAATGCATAAGCACATAGGGGAACACAAGGGGTGAAACGGTTGTGATGGAACTCCCGATAGTGCGGCTTCTATAGGAGGGCTGTGAGTACTAGACAGCCAGAATTTTAGCCTGTAAGGCTGGAACTTCCAAGTTGTAAAATCTGACAAAGGTGGAGGGGGAAGCCCATCCCGCAGCCACACAAATGTCGTGGATGGAAATCCCGCAGGACCATGCCCACGATGAGGCCATGCCTCTGGTGGAATGAGCCCTGATGCCCAGAGGGCAAGGCAGGTCTTTAGCGGCATAAGCAGAGGCAATCGCGTCTACTATCCACCTGGATAGGGTCTGTTTCGAGGCGGCTAGTCCCTTGGTGCGGCCACCGAACGACACAAACAGCTGCTCCGAGCGTCTGAACGCGGCCACGCGTGTAGTGTACACTCTGATAGCCCGAACCGGGCAGAGGCGGTGAGCGTCACGTTCGCTATCGGATGCCGGCAGCGCCGATAGAGAGATCACTTGCGCCCTGAAAGGGGTACCAATCGCTTTTGGAACATAACCGTGTCTAGGCTTTAGAATGACTATGGAGTCACTCGGTCCAAACCCTAGGCACGCGGCGCTCGAAGACAGCGCGTGAATGTCCCCCACACGTTTTACTGAGGCGAGAGCCGTCAGAAGAACGGTTTTTAACGAGAGGTATTTTAGCTCCACGGACTCAAGTGGTTCAAACGGTGGGGCTTTCAGAGCTTCTAGAACTATAGAAAGATCCCAGACCGGCACCGTAGGGGGGCGAGGGGGGTTCATCCTTCTGGCTCCCCTGAGGAAGCGGATGATAAGCTCGTCTTTGCCCAGAGACTGGGCGCGCCGGGGTTCAGCGAACGCCGCGACGGCTGCCACGTAAACCTTAAGAGTGGATGGGGACCTGCCCTTATCCAGCATCTCCTGAAGGAACACTAGCAAAGACGAAACCTCGCACGTCCGTGGGTCCAAATTCTTGTCGGTGCACCATTTGGAGAACACAGACCATTTTGCAGCATAGAGCTTTCTGGTAGAATCCGCTCTGGCGTGTTTGATCGTGTTCAAAACCCCTTCTGGCAATTCGACGCGTAGTCGTTGGTCACCCATGCATGAAGCGCCCAGCGCTGTGGATGGGGATGCCAGATCGAGCCGCGGGCTTGAGTGAGGAGATCTGCTCTGATTGGAATGGGCCACGGGGCTGTCTGTGACAGCCGCGTTAGCTCCGGGAACCAAATCTGATTCTCCCAGCGCGGGGCTATGAGGAGCACCGAGTGGCGTGAGTCCCTGATTCTCTGAATGACCTGCGGTAGCAGAGAAATCGGGGGAAAAGCATAGAGCGGGCGGCGGGGCCAATCCTGGGCTAGCGCGTCCTCGCTCTTTGAAAGGAATATTGGGCAGTGAGCGTTCTCTTCTGACGCGAAAAGATCTATCTCCGCTCTGCCGAATAGGCGCCACAGTGTTTGGACTGTTTGAGTGTGCAGGGACCATTCTCCGGGGGAGACCAGGTTCCTGGACAGCCTGTCTGGACCGTCGTTCAGATGGCCCGGCACGTGCGTCGCTCTGAGCGAAAGCAGGTGACTCTGGGACCACAATAGGATGCGGCGTGTCAGATGAAAGAGATTCTTGGATCTGACGCCGCCCTGACGGTTGATGTATGATACCACGGCCATATTGTCGGACCGAATCAGGACGTGGTGACCGTTTATGCGCGGGAGGAAGCACAGCAGCGCGTTCTCGACCGCGATCATTTCCAGACAGTTTATGTGTAAGGAACTCTCGTGGCTCGACCACTGGCCGGCGGCCGGTGAGCCCTCGCAAACCGCTCCCCAACCCGAGTTGGATGCGTCTGTCGAGATGACTTTCCGGCGAGAGAATGTTCCCATAGTAACGCCCCTCTGAAACCACTCGCTTGCTGCCCATGGCTGCAGTGCAGTGATACAAGTCTGAGTAATCCTGATCATCTGGCGGCCCGTCGTCCACTCGTGGTGGGATACGCGGCTCTTTAACCAGAATAGAAGGGGGCGCATGTGCAGGAGACCCAGCTGTAGCGCAGCGGAGGCTGAAGCCATATGACCCAGCATCCTCTGAAGCGATTTCAGGGATGTAAGGGTACCCATCTGAAACGAGGCGGCTAGGCGCTGAACACGGCGCGCGCGCTGTGTGGATAAGCGAGCCGTCATCGTGATAGAGTTCAAATCTATTCCGAGGAACGAAATAGTTTGACTGGGCTGGAGAGAGCTCTTTGTCCAGTTGACAGAGAGTCCCAGCGCTTCCAGATGGTTGAGGAGAACTGTGCGGTGCGACAGCAGCTCCGTCTGGGAATCTGCTAGAATCAGCCAGTCGTCCAGATAATTCAGTATGCGCAGCCCCTGACTTCGCAGGGGGGCGAGCGCTGTATCCATGCACTTCGTGAACGTACGGGGTGCTAAGGATAGGCCGAACGGGAGAACGGCATACTGGTAAACTTGGCCCTCGAAGGCGAAACGTAGGAATGGCCTGTGATGAGGGTTTATCTGGATCTGAAAATAGGCGTCTTTCAGGTCTAGAGAGATGAACCAGTCCCCCTGGCGGACGTGCGCGAGGAGTTTCCTGACTGTGAGCATTTTGAACGGTCTCTTCATGAGCGCTTTGTTCAAAGCCCTGAGATCTAAGATCGGCCTGAGGCCGCCGTCTTTCTTGGGGACCAGAAAATAACGGCCGTAAAACCCCGACTCGGTCATAGATGGCGGGACTCTCTCTATAGCGCCCTTCTGCAGTAGCTTGGCTATTTCTAAGCGAAGCGTGTTCATAGCAGCCGGGCTGACAGTGGATTCGAGCCGCACGCCGAGCGTGGCGGGCGGCGACGAAACTGTAATCGATAACCATTCTTTATTATGCTTAAAACCCACGGGGAGATGCCGGGGATGGCTTCCCACGCTTTGTAGCATACGGCTAGTGGTTGAATGGCGATTTCGCCCTGATTGCTGCACATTGCGGGCTGGACACTGGGTGTGGGCTCGCTTATAATGTGGAAGGCAACGGGACTTACACTCAGAGAGGAGTTTAAGGGCCTTGAGACAGAGCGGGCAGAGGGGGACACGCGCACGGGCTCGTGGGCGTGCTTATGTTCTCTGCTGCTGGAGCGGAAAGTGCACGCTCCGTGAGAATGGGCTCTGCGAGAGACCCTGGGCATAAAGTGCTTGTGTGTGTACGTGAGCACATGGTTGTGGGCACGTTTTTTACACTTGAGGCTTTTATGCTCTTTTTGTGAACTCTCTGGGTAGCCGTGAAAACGGCTTTTAGTCGCTCGCAAGCGGGCAGGGAAACCGGCTTGTTTGTGGCGGTAAACACTACTGTAGTCAGCGGTGAGACGGGGACTAACAGTGGGCGAAGCTTTGACGGCGGTCCGGCCGCAGCGGGAGAAAACCGTCTTTTTCTCAGCTGTGCTAGGCAGACTTCTGTTGATCAGGCTTCAGCGTGATCTTGGGTCGAGGCCCCCGGGGCGGAGGCTGTCTGCGGCGGCTGTCTGAGCGAGAGCGAGGGCGGCCGCCCTGTCTACGCTGGGGCTGCTGAGCTTGCTGAGGC